TGACTTAGATCAGCCCAGGGGTTGTTTCAGGGTTCGATCTGTGAGTTAGCCATGCCCTGACTTAAGATCAGCCCAGAGGTTATTTCAGGGTATCAGTAAAATTTAAGGGTTTTTTCTTTTAATCTCCAATTAAGTGGTGGGTCTGTCAACAGGTTTTTTATTGGTACATGGAATGTTAATGGTCGTAACCCAGGAAGTGAGAACCTTAAACCTTGGTTAAGATGTGATGAAGAACCATCTGATGTAGTCATTGTTGGGTAAGTGATGTCATGCATGTACTGAGGGGATTCCCTTGGTTAAGATGTGATGAAGAACCATCTGATGTAGTCATTGTTGGGTAAGTGATGTCACGCATGTACTGAGGGGATTCCCTTGGTTAAGATGTGTTGATCCATCTGATGTAGTGATTGTTGGGTAAGTGATGTCACGCATGCAGTGAGGGAATTCCCTTGGTTAAGATATGATGAAGAACCATCTGATGTAGTAATCGTTGAGTAAGTGATGTCACGCATGTACTGAGGGGATCCTCCCCCCCGTGTTCTAACTAACCCTTGACTTCGATATAATAGTTTCCAGGAGCTAGATTTGAGTGCAGAGGCACTTATCTTGTCTAACGTGACGTCATCGTCTTCTCGACCAAAAGAAGAGGATTGGCAAAAAGCAGTGGAGAAGACATTATGTTCGAATCTCGATTATGTTAAGGTAAAAATAAATTAATGGTATCCCTATGGTGGAAGAAAATTCAGTTTTAATAAGAGCAACATTCACTTCTCAACGCAATAGACCCATTGCAGTGCGTCGGAATGTAGCTCAATTTGGAGGACGTAACAATAGGTTTCCAATTCTCAGGAGATTGAAATTCTTTTGTTTTGTCCTCCAAATTGAGCTGATTTAACGTCACATGCAATAGGTTTTATTGGCGTGGTTAGCTCGTAGGCATAATCCTCACAACTCGATGACACAGTGGCTTCGCCTCTACGAGGCAGTAGCCGCATAAAATTTAAGTTGAAGCTAAAGGGGTTTATAAAGGTTTTAACCGTCACGTGACGGCACCCATGTTAGACGGCAGCAACAATACAATCGTTTTACACGAGAAAGAATTCAATTCCCAGGAGCAAAGGGATTTTATTGTTCTGCCATCTAACCACMGGTAGCCCAAGCTGTATTATGGCGCCGGTACGTGATGGTGCAAAACCTCTATAACGTTGTGCTAAGTATAGCGGATTAATTATTAATGTTATTGATAATTATTATTTTATTCCACAGGTCCGTTCAATACGCCTCGTCGGCATGTACCTACTGGTATACGCCAAGTCAGAACACATGCCATACATCAGTAGCGTTGAAGCACAAGACGTAGGCACTGGAATTATGGGAATGATGGTATGTGGGACGTCATTCATTTCCTAATGAGAACATAAAACCTAAGTAATCAATTAAGTAAGCAAGGTCCGTTGCTGTTGATAACCCGTTCCGTAACTTTATTTTACCAAAAATTGCATTTCCGAAGTTCGAAGGAAGACTTACAGAAGATACCTTAAAGGCCGGTTTAGACTTTACGATTTTCGCCTACAACTATCGTATACAACACGCTCGCGTCTGTCGTAGGCGAGTTGTAGGCTTGATTTACACGCTACGACTCGAGTTGTAGGATGGCGCGAGCGTGTTGTATACGATAGTTGTAGGCGAAAATCCTACCGTCTAAACCGGCCTTTAAAAAGTTTTCGTATGACTTTGTCAGTATGTCAGACATGTCGGTGTGAAAGACGTCAGCATTTTCAAAGTCTCAGTCCACACTAACACGATAAGCCCTCTTTTTTAAATGTCTCCATTTTGGAGAGCGTTTTGAAATGTATGCGCTTTCGATCGTCATAGTGTGGACGCAAGGCCAGAACGCGTCAAAAAGTATGCGTTTTCCACACGCATTAGTGTGGATGGGGCCTTAGAAAAGGTGTCATTGACGGAACACAAAAACCCTAACGTGTATAGATGATGCAAACAACTTTGAATATAGAAGATAATACTTGACAGTAATTCAACTGATAAACTCGTGGTCCTCTTTTAACGTCTCTAGTTGATTAGGGACGGGGCCGCCATTAACGTGATCATCCGAGCCACGTGAAGGTCTAACCATTTGCAGATGTAATTACTTACGGCAGCACCTTCTCCTTAATTCAGTTGATAATTTCGTGGTCCTCTTTTAACGTCTCTAGTTGATTAGGGACGGGACCGCCATTAACATGGTCATGCGAGTCACATGAAGGTCTAACCATTTGTAGATGTAATTACAAAGGCAGCACCTTCTCAGTTATTTTAAGACCCTGAATTTTGGTCTGGCCGCAAAGGCTTGAACCACGACCTCCCGCACAAGAGGCATGAATCAAAGTTCTAATATTGTATGTTCCGTAGGGCAATAAAGGTGGTGTATCGATACGTATGGAGTTGCATAACACGTCGTTGTGCTTTGTGAACTCACATCTTGCGGCACATCAAGACGAATACGAAAGACGCAACCAGGTAGGAAAAAAACACTGCTTTCAGGCCTTTGAAGTTTATTAAGAGGAAATTGTTTTCGATAACGAGCAATAATGGCAAAAAGCGCCAATAACTAGACCTTCGTATGAGTTTTGATCCCAAT